ATCAAAAAGGACGGCAGTACAAGTGCTCGTCAACTCTGGTCATCGAGGAACCTCTGCGACGGCGCCCTTCTCCCCAATTGGCACGCCTTCATGCAACGAAATCGCATGGAAGTTGAGGCACTGACACCAAGCCTGGGCTCACTGACGACGGGGCCGGCGATTCTGTATATCGGCACAATGGGATTCCTCGCAGAAAGTCTGGGGCGCGACGATCAATTGTGGAGAGATGAAGCACCGCTTTCGAGATGTGCGCTGATAAACGACATTTTGTACGATGACGAAGACTTATTCCACGACATCATATGGCCGGAGCTGCTCAGCGACATTGCAAAGGGGAAATCCCAACGAGAACCGATCCCGGCGGAGGCATACCAGATCAAGGACAGCAGGGCTGCCCTCATTACTTTGGACACATACGTAATGTTGCGAACAGCAAGACGAGATATGGCGGACGTTCCTACAACGGCAGGTGATCTGCTGGATGCTGATACATGGGGCAAGACAATTGCAGTGGTCCCGGTGACCGCGGACATGTTGCGTAGAGACGCTATTTGGTCATACACACTCTGTTTCCTGACAACTGAAGTATGGAATTCACTCGTGGTAACCGACGTCTGCTCCTTCAGCAAAAGCGACAATTGTAGCCCAAGGAAGAAGATCGGCACCTTCAACCAGATCGAGTTATATGACAACAGTGTCCTACTAGTGCCAAGACTCCAGATAACGATCAAGGACTATCTTAATTCCAGTGACTTCGTGTGTATTAACGCAGAAGGAAAGCGAGTCTCAACCGCACCCCCGTATCAAGGAACATCTGTCTTCTGCGAAAACCATTCCTGCAGCGACCATGCTAGCAAGTTCTGCATATACGATACTCCCATAGCGCTGCACGATTTTAGCAGTACGACGTCTTCCACCTTTCTCATCCCCATTAAGGCATGGGGCACCACCGCAGGAGAATTCTACCCTCATAATCTACAAAATTATGCCGACGCCATTCTACTATCGCCAAAATGTTCGAAAGGAGGGACTAGAAGTGAAAGCGGACAGGATAATTGACGCCATTGAAGCATGCATCGCCTCCTACTGTATCTTCACAACACACATATCGGCCACTTCTCTAATGTTTCCGACAGAGCTCATTGTCTTCAGATATACGGTACAAATCAGCGGATGGCAAAATGGAATACGTGTTCATCAGTCTTCAATAACATGCCCTGCTCATCCCATCTGTGAAATACTTAATTGCTCCTTATGTCTGGAAAAAATCTACAATAGTCAGTGCTTGACTAAGCTCGAGATCCTGCTCGCCACGGCATCCGTCATGCTCATCATATCAATGTATTGGATTCTCAACCCAATACTTTTCGTCATCGGAAGGCTTATCGAACTACCCCTACTCGACTCGACATACACTCGTGCAAAGCGACGCCCACGCTCACTGAAGAACTCGGCATTACTCATCACGATTTTGCTCTTCATAATGAGCGAAAGACACACATACGGTTGCTCAGATGTTGTTTTAATAACTAGTACGACAGAATCGTGCTCTAAGGTCAATTCAACTCGAACATGCACGTTCAATCAAGGTGTCGTCCTGACCCTCCAGCCACTTGGCCAGGATCTTTGTCTATCTTTGAGAAATGACGATAACGAATCCAGTCGGTCTACTATCGCTGCGGATAAAAAGTATTTTCCACGTGTGCCAAAAGAAGATTGAATTCTTTACTCGCGATCATGAATTCAACTCAGAATCTTCCCACCGATGCTACAAGGCAGGAAGCTGCAACCGAATAAATTGCGACAACACCAAAACGTCAGATACGATAGCTGAGTTCAGCTGGAAAGCTTCTCACCACCCTGGCTTCACATTTTGCAAGGCCAGCTGTCAATGTCTGATGTGCGACGGTTGCTTCTACTGTACGCCGTCATGCTTATTTTAACCAGTTTGGCTGCGCACGCATTCGCGTGCATGAGACGGGGCTGCAGCGGTAAAATCGGGCCCATCAGTATTTTTGTCTTGATTTTAGCTTTCTGCTCGGTACATCTTACTTACGCCGCAAACTCCGCCCACATCCGGGTGTGCCACGCCCAGCGTTCACATTCAACCTCTACTCCTACTTTCACCTCTGGCGTATTTTTTTCAGGTCTCTAAGTCATCTCGGAGCCAGAATTATGAGGTCTTGTAGGGGACGAAATCGAGCTACGTATCTTTGTGGCAAACCCCGCCCACTTTGGTGCATGCTCCGCCCGCCAACAACGGTTGACCCCTTTCCCTCTGCCAACCCTCATACGCTTTTTTCCCGGACTCCGGGACTCCTAGGAACCGAGTTATAAGCCTAATTGCAAACTCCGCCCACTTTGATGTAAGCCACGCCCATCCCTGACATTTAGCTTCCCCTCCCCTCCTGACCTCTATCCGTTGTTTTCCGGTCTCTAAGTCATCTCGGAGCCGATTTATGAGCTCTTGTAGAAAATGCTGTCCGCTTCACGACACGCTCCGCCCATTGTGGGCGGGCCTCCGTTCACATCATGCGTGGTGGAAATACCTTAGGCATTGCTCCCCTGCACTAATTTCGTTTCTGGTCTGTAGGCTTCCTCTTAACCGAGTTATGAATATTTTCACTGAGCACCCATTTTCTAGAGAACGCCCCGCCCACCGAGGGTGGGTCTCCTCAGTTCAATCTGGCTTACCAACCCACACCTATGCCCACTTTTGTCCCGGTCTCGAGGCTGTTTTGTGACTGAATTTGAAATCATGGTCCTCAGTACCACTCATTTCGACGCACGCCACGCCCACTGTGGGCGGGGCTCCGCTTAGGTAATGTATGTTTTTTACTTCTCGAGATATGGTACACCCATCCCAAACATGACCTGGACCCAGTAGGTTGTTGTCCGCTTAATACGGAATTTCGTGACAGACAGACAGACAGACAGACAGACAGACAGACAGACAGACAGACAGACAGACTTAGCGCATTATATATATAGTAGGGATATTAACCGAAATATCAATCTTCTATACCTTCAAACTGTAGTTTCACCTGCAATATGGGAGCTCACAGTTACCACGGAGATCACATTTCAACTGCATAACAAAGAACCCGAAACACATCTCATTGTTCTTCGCCCAGGAAGAACGTCAAGAGTGAGAGACGTCAAGTTGTCTCTACTGGCAACCGTTTCTCCTCAACTGCCCGTTCTTGGATCTGCCTTTATCACTGACGGCAAGAGGACAGCCATGACAATGCGAGTTCAGGCTAATGAGCTGACACCTCAAACCCCAGGCCAGTTACAATGCGCTTCTAAAACGGATGCAACACAATTCAAATGTCGATTTTCTCCAAGGACATGCCCATGCTCTACGGGGGCCTTCAAATCCACCTGCACGTGCCCAGAAGGAAAAATGTCGAATCATCGGCAGCACAACACTCTACCCTTCACAACCAAGAACATCATAATTGAACAACACGACGATACAATTGCAGCCCGAGCACATATTGGATCAGCTGTCCACGTACAAACGAACGTGGAAAACATGAAGATCGTCTCAGTTCAAAATCACGGAAGCTGCTCCATTATGACATCTACCATCGAAGGATGCTACTCTTGCCTTTTAGGAGCGACAGTCACAATTGTGTGCTACGCTACCAGTGACCAAACAACAGCTGATATCATATGCGATGACCAACATCAAATTGCCACTTGCACTCAACGAAGAAAAATAACAGCACTCAACTTCCACTTCAACTCGCCCAGGATAGATATGAATTGCACCATCTCATGTCCCGGAGGGCGATCATATTTTCTCATCAACGGCACGTTGGACTATGTACATGACTCAGAACTTCAACGAGAAATCGCAATTGACAGTGACGTGAGTGTAAATTCAGCAGAGAACGTATGGGACACCGCTACGAAGTGGATATCTTCAATCACAGATTTCTTTGGTCTTCTTAAGATCCTTTTGATTGCAATTTATCTTCATACCTCTAATGCCTTGTATCCTTTTCATTGTGACTCTCCTCTCAAGGATAGCTTCAACCGTGAAAAAACAAACCTAATCCCCGGGAGTTTAGCTGACCGATAAATTGTTCAAATCATGTTCATATCGTAACATCTTCTTCTATGCTGAATCATTCTATTCAGTTGTTTTGGCTAGAGCCTTTGATGGTATGTCTAGAAGCTTGAAATTGCATGATTTTCCCTATTAATCACAAGACAAAACTAAATTTCTGTGCGTATATAAGCGCTCAGTGTTTGAAAGGTGTCGGTTAAGACCTCTTGAATAAATCTTCCAACGACAGCATCGACTAAAGTAACTTTGGGATGAATATGTCTCAAATATACTGAGGAGGCTGAAGCAGACACAAGCGTGATTGCTGTTGCCAATAGGGGCAGTTGTGAAGATATTAGCTATGACATTGGGGCTATTGCAGAATGGTAAGTCCAATGTATGCTCTCCCGCGGTGCTAGACTTAAAGGCAAAAGTCGGGCTCAATAAGGGGGTATTATGGCGATTGAAACTGAGTATAGAGATGCGAAGTGGAACGACAGTGGAGAAAAAACTGAGAAAAACCGTCGACAAGGC